CAATTAAAAATTCCAATTTTTGAACGCTACGTTTATGTTAAGATTAATAATACAACACTCTAAATTACAACATAGATTGACTGGGACAAGCATTCCGTCGTTTTCCACTGGAAAAATTGTACTTGTTTTTATCTCTAGGCCCAAAATCATCCTGATCAGCCAAGTTTCAATTTTCCCGTTTTGGCACTATTTTCTTCAATAATAATAGGTTTCAAAAATTTGTTTTCTCAGAATAATCGATAACATTATCACACAAAATAATAAAAAATTAATCTTTTCAACCCTCATTTTGACAAACAAATTTTCCAAAAGTTTTATTATTATTTACCGCTATAAGTGTATTTTCGTTTATCTTAGTTGCAATTAGGATTTGTTTAAAGTAAATACCTTTCGTTTATCCTTATCCCATGAAATGGGGTCTGGATTTACTGGTCGTCGCTACCCTTAGAGGCAAGTTTTATGATCAACTAACTCAAGCCGGTCTCCCCGGGGGTAAAAATTACAACGGCAACCCGCTTCTACAACTCTCCGGTTCGCTTAAGGTCGGGATGGAATACCAGGGATTAAAAAAAAACGAGGAAAGGGGGAGATCTTGTAAATATTGGGGTATTCAACCTTTCTGGGTCAATCGTCTTCTGCGTCGATGCGTTCCAAACTGGAAAAAAATTCGGAATGTGTATGTACAACCAAAAATTACAATACCAAATTTTGGGATGGATAATTGGCTTGTAATGACCTAAAGTCCCCAATATCATGATCAGCTCAACATTATTATCTTATCGTTATCATAAAACACCTGGATTATACTAAAATAAATTTCCCAGACATTTATATTTGGTATAAATTTTAAAAGTAACAAAAAACGCAACGGTGACTGAAAGAAAAGTATATATAGAGAAAAAAGAGAATACAAAAAGGATGTTAATTTTTGCCAAATTTTATAATAATGGTATTTTTTAAGTGTGTTGTATTGTTTACCTTTCCAAGTGAAAAAAAGTAGTCATTTAAAAACTTAGATGTTAAAATTAAAGAAATTAGATAAAGTGGAAGAGAAGTGAACAAAGTAACAAATGGAAGAGCGAATAGAAAATTAAGCAGAAGGTGAAGCAGAAGATGGAGAGAAAGAGAGAGAAAAAGTCAGAGAGAGAGAGAGAGAGTGAGAGAGAGGGAGAGAGAGAGAGAGTTATTCTACATTTTATTGTTAAATGTCTTGTAATTTGCAAATTAAAATTGACAGAAATTAAAATATTAATTAAGCCATTTATTACGTTCTCTTAATACACATCCCGACCAATACATTTACGTTAGATGGTTTAATTTTAATTTAAAAATAATGGTCATGCCCAACATGTGAATATTGTAAATTGAAAAATTCCATAAACAACAACCCACGTGGGATTCAATTAAATTCTTCGAAACCCATTTATTTAAATGCACCACCCGGTATTTTTCCCTGGGGCAGAAGGAACGGCTCAATAACCGTAAAACACGATTATCGCCCTATCAAAAATTGGAGGATTATTTAACGTTCTTACTCCTGCAACACGAAAATCGCCAAGAGTTGCGATGGTAGTGGCGACATAAATAAGGAAAAAGAGGCTGGATCTCCGGCCGCGTTAACAGGCTGTTCACGTATGCAGATCCCAATGAAGCACGTTTAAGGGCCCTTCGGAAGGGTGGCCGCATCGTAAAAACGGCTGAATCTTTTTGAAAGAGGTAAGCCATGATTATCAAGAGAGTTTTCGAGCATAAGGATAAAAATATCGATGTCGGTTTGAAAACATCGGAGCTATCGAAGAGTTTATATATGTATTTTTTTTTTTAAATCATTAGAAAAAAAATCTTGAAATAAATGCAGATGTTCTTTATTTTCACTGATTAATCCATTTCTATCACAAAATTGATGATATATAAAAAATTGATTTTATAAACAATATAACAAGTACTCAATTAAGTATACACAATATTTTCAAAATGAAAAAGTTGTGTCACAGGCGGGATTCGAACCCACGACTTTCAGCTAAATAAGCCGCTTCTGTACCACTTGAGCAACCGTGACTTCGATCGCCCTGCCACAAACTTCCCATTTCAACTCCATGTTTTATTCCAATTCCTGTGAATCGTACACAGTCCCTCAAATGTAGTACAATCGTTAATAAAATTGTTTCTATTTGAAGCCCCGATTTGCTTACAATTCGAATAAAACCGGGAGTCGAAATGGGAAGTTTCTGGCAGGGCGATCGAAGTCTCGGTAGCCCAAGTGGTAGAGCAACGGCGTATTTAGCTGAATGTCGTGGGTTCGAATCCCGCCTGTGACACAAATTTTTCTTTTCCACAAAAAATTTGCATACTTAATTGAGAAATTATATAAATAAGAATAAGCTGATAAAAATAATAAAAGTTAGTATTAATATAACAAGTATTGATATGCACACATTCATGTTTCAGTTTCACATTGCAAGCTTACCTAATTTCATAGGTACAAACATATGATTAAAAACTCCATAAAACCTCAAGCCTTGAAATATAGATTAGTTATTTTCTAATAAAGTTTGGTTTATCGTCAATCTGTCATCATTTGTAAATTTCATGTCGGTATAAGAACCAAATATACACATATATATACATTTCAATATTAAAAAATTATCAAGGATAAGTCATGTTGAAGAGGATTTTTTCCTGGAAAGCTGGAAGAAAAGTCGGAATTTTTTAACATGAAATATAGATCTATATACAATTTTTATTTTGAACATGGCAATCAGGTATGGAATATACCATCATAAAAGCAAGATCATATATGTGGTAACCGTCAGATTTACTTCATAGTCCACAATGAGTAAAAATTAACCAAAATAAAATTTGCTATAACGAGACGCCTTAGATTATTTTGTTGAAAAACCTGGAAGCAAAATTATAAATTTACTTTTTTGTTGGTTTTATTCTTGGCAGAAAGCGGACTTCAATAAGAAGCGTTGGTAATAACTTTTAAATTGATTTCACTGTGCTGTAAAAATAGTAATTTGAAATTAAAAGCCCGATAGAAAAAAGTTATATTTACAATACATTTATATATTAGAGGTTCAATATATATATATCCATTAAAAGAGATATTAACAATTTAAAATGGTCCGTTTGAATCGTAAATTTGGCTTTTGTAGTCTTAGTTATGTTTATTTCTAAAACGTACATCTGCTTTTATGGAAGTTGTTAATGTTAATTGCTCTAGCGTTTACGACAAGGCTAGTTGTAGTTAGGGTGTAATAACTTCTCAAAGAAAGCCGGTCGACGTGGACACTTTTAATTGTGCATTTAATTTTACAAAAATTTATCTTTCACGATTATATTCGATTCATTATTTCTCCTCCCGCATACATTTAACGATTGGAAATTTCTCTCTCTCTCACTCTCTCTCTCTCTCTCTCTATATATATATATATATATATATATATATATGTATATATATCTACCTATTTATTTATCTGAACCTATATTTATATAACGATCCATCTGGTTTATGTCTTTAGATCTTTTCTCCGTCATTTTTCATTTATATTTATTACCTTTTCTTACTCCTCTCTCTCTCTTTCTCACTCTCTGTCGCTCTCTCTCACTCTCTGTCTGTCTGTCTGTTTCACTCTCACTCTCTCTCCCTTCTCTCACTTTCTGTCTCTGTCTCTGTCTCTGTCTCTCTCTCTCTCTCTCTCTCTCTCTCTCTCTCTCTCTCTCTATCTATCTCTCTCTCTCTCTCTCTCTCTCTCTCTCTCTCTCTCTCTCTCTCTATCTATCTATCTATCTCTTCTATCTATCTATCTATCTATCTACCTATCTATCTATCTATCCTTCTATCTATCTATCTCTATGTCTATCTATCTATCTATCTCTCTATCTCTTCTATCTATCTATCTATATATCTATCTATATCTCTTTATCTATCTATCTATCTCACTCCCTCTATCTATCTACCTATTTATTTATCTATCTTAATCTATATCTATCTAACGATCCATCTGTTTTATATCTGTAGAACTCTTATCCGTCCACTTTTCATGTCTATTTATTTTATCTTCTCATTACCTTCTCACTCTTTCTATCTCTCTCACTCTATCTATCTATCTCTCTGTTATCTCACTCCATCTATCTTTTTACCTATTTATTTCTGTATATCAATCTACATTTATCTAACGATCCATCTGGTTTATATCTTTACATATTTTCTCCGTCCACTTTTTATGTCTATTTATTACCGTTTCTCATTATTCTCTCACTTTCTCTCTCTCTATCTCTCTCTTTTCTTTCTATCTAACTACCTATTTATTTATCTATCTCAATCTATAACTACCTAACGATCCATCATTAAATCTTTTCTCCGTCCACTTTTCATTTATATTTATTACATTCACTAATTTCGTGGTCCACTTGACCAATTGGCTAAGTCATTAGCTTTTTTTCATCTCAACTAAAAACCTTAATTAATTGTAATATATTTATTACCTTTTGTCATTACACACTCTCTCTCTCTCTCTCTCACTCTCTCTCTCTCTCCCTCTCCCTTCCTTTCTTCTTACCTATGGCGCATGTAATATTGGGCGGGCTTGAAAACATAGATTGTGCACAACTCAATCTCAATATCCAGTGATATATATATACCTTCGCACATCTGCTTTTCTAATTTTTTCATCAAAAATCAAACTTCAACTCGAGAGTTTTAATAGTTGATTCAGTTACATTTTATATTTACTTTCTATGTGTAATGTTTAATATGATGAAGATATTTTTAAAAATCAAGCTCTTATACTTTCACTGAATTCATTAATCGTACTGGCTTCATCGAGCCAGTCAAATACTATTAAAAGAGCTACACTCAAAATAGAATAATAATTATTGATAAACTTTAAATAGATTTGTCGATTTTTTATAATTTATTTTTTTGTTTAAAGTGTTGGCCTGTATTATAACCTGCCGAGGCAATGCAATTATTATTTATAATTATCGACAGAAGATCATGCGATTGTTTCACAACAATCAAACATATGTTAGACTACATAAGTATACAACACATTCTAAATTTCTTAATGTATTTCTTATTTAAATTCACACAAAATAGTAATACACGCAAAACTATTTAAAATCGTTTCTTCAGTACGGTCGGATTCTGTTTTTGATGCCGCTTCGAAATTGTGAGGCTCTCTAAGAAACTAGTTACGGAATAATGGATATAATGAGTGTGATATGATGACAGTGGACTGGGGCCGTATTGAATTATATGACTGAGAACGTCGTGAGCCGGTTCCGAGCTATGGAGGAGCGGCGGAAGGTGGAGCCATATCAAGGCGAACTGCTGAAGTACACCAACATTTTCAGAGGATGGCAGAATCGTTGGTTCGTCTTGGATTCGGACATGGGCGTTCTGAAGTACTACCAGTGCGAGCCTAGCAAATGCAAACGCCCCAAAGGGAGCATCTATCTGAAAAACGCCATAATATCGACTAGCGACGAAGACCCGCTGTCCTTCTCGGTCGTCTCCAAGGAAAAGTCCTCGGCCAAACTCAGAGCCAAGTCAATGCAAGAGAGAAACTCGTGGATGGAGAAGCTCGCCTTGGTGGCCGAACGGCACTCCGTCGTCTCGGACTCGCCCATCCCACGGCGTCCGACGTCCGTCGGGCCCGACGCCGACTTCAGAAAGGCGCTCGAAGAAGCGGAGCAGAGCGTGACCAAGTCGTGCGAAAGCTATTTTTACCTGTCGAGGGCACTCGACACCCTACCTCTTCCTCCATACGGCCCGTTTTACAACCTCGGACCGGAATTGCAAAGTTTAAAGGAGTGCTCGGAGGCGATGCAGGAATCGCTGACGCGGTGCATAGCGTCCGTCCGGGACAGTCCGATCGAGACTGTACAATCGACCAAATCCAAGGATACGTTGAGAAGCAAGAAGTCTTTGAAAATTCCACCACCGATGTCCCTGGAAAAATCCATGCCCCTCGCCTCATCCAAATCCAGGCACTGCTTCAACGGAGCTAACAACATGGGCGCCACTCTCTCCAATGACACCATCTCCTCCAATAATTCTTTTAAAGCGAATCAACAACCGGAGGTTAAAGACCTCCCCACCGCCTAACTGGTCTCTGATTTTGACTCAAAACAGAGTATCTTAAACTTACCAATCGACTGAAAAAGGGCGTGTTTTTCTATTTAAACATTAAATGTATTCATAAAAAATACTGCATGTTGATTTTGTTTTGGGAAATTTGTTTTTTAGATATACTGATTAAATCTACAAATTTTTTAAATCCATAGTAGGTTTTTAATATCACCAAAACGAAATGACAAGAAAAAAAAACTTAGCAATGACATATAAAATTCGAATATATTCTTTTTAAATCTTTTATTTCTAAAAGCTTCAATATTTAACATTAGAGAGAGGGAAAGGTTCTGCTAAATACTAAAGAAAATAACATTTCATTAAATTAACTTAATCCGACACTTAAATTTCAACGTGCATCAAATCTAACAAATCTTCCTATATGACTTTTAAAAAATATAAGGAAGGGAAAAAAACATATTTTCAAAAACATAATATAAACATGTGATAAAATTGGCTTTTTATACTGGTCAATTGTGTGCGTTGTTTTTTCTTTTCTTTTTCTTCAAGATAGATTTGGCTGTTGGTCATTATAATTGTTTTTTTTTATTATTAGTCTGTCCATTTTCCAACAACGACTGCAAAGAATATTGAATAGCTGGTGACTACACCTGATTAATAGAACACCAGTTTGCTCAGTAAATTTTAGTGGAATGTAATTTGGTTTTGACCTTTAAACATATAACTAAAACAGCACCTTCTTGTGACTTCTCCTTGTGCTACCATGTTACCATACTAACATTCGTAAAAAGAAAATAATTGTGGCCCCTCCTCCAGAATGCCCGAACCGGAAGCATGAATAGATCTTGCCAGATTATGAATTGGCCATACACGATTGATACGTGGGCACTTTCTCTTGGGCCAACCCCCGCGCATATATGCAAAGAAATCATTGCTCGATGTGTCCTAAATAATTGAAGCTTGTCATGCCTTGGCTCCATATAGGGTGCGAATGGGCATGCCGCCAGATTTAAAACGGGTTCTCGGACACAGTAGAGAGTTTCAGGGTCATGTGTTTTATTGTCCTGTTTGTACAAGTGATTGTATTTATTAGCGTGAATCAAGAGGGCTAATGGTTAAATAGCATCAACGTCGCCTTTCGAGCTCTGTGCGTGATTTGTGCACCCATGGATCTTAACTAGATTAATATTGTGTACATGTTGATGGAGTAATATTGAGTACTCCATCTGCTAAACAGAATGAGCACAATGTATGTAGGTATGAATGTATTTGTTACGTATTGAATCTGTGTTGTTATATTTCGCTAGGGGCTGAATTGAACTAGCAGTCTGATGCTTCTGTAAAAACAAAAATAGTTGTAGTCCTGTTTTCCTCGTTATCAAACTGCAAGAAATTTTAATTTGAATTAATTTAAATTTCTTTTTTTGCTATAATAATAGATGAAAAAAGTTTAGTAGTTCATGATTCCGTTTATAGAAAACCATGTAATTTTATGACAATTAATTAAGGTTTTTAGTTGAGATGAAAAAAAGTTAATGGCACGAGCGGGATTCGAACCCACGATCTTCGAGTGGTAGAGCAGCGGCGTATCTAGCCGAAGATCGTGGGTTCGAATCCCGCTCGTGCCATTAACTTTTTTTTCATCTCAACTAAAAACCTTAATTAAAATTCATGTTTTAATTGGTCAAGCGGACCACGAAAGTAATGAATTAAGAACCTGTAATTTTATTCGATCCGTCACCATTTACGATCGGCCTCAGAACTGGCACACCCAAAGTCGAAAGAAACCACCGATGTTTAATTATGGAATTATGGTAAGATAAATTCGGTGAGCGCGAACGGTGAGCCACGACAAAGAGCTGATCCACTTCACTGAGAAAATTTTTCATCCTACCCTCAAAAAAGAGCGGTTTTTCCCATCCGGACTACAAACCATTTGCAACAGTACAAAAATCCTAACAATGTTTATCTGGAAGTCACTTCCTGTTTAAATGATATGAAATACTTAGAAATTTTAAGATTTACGTATACAGGGTGAATTGCTACTCGTGCTACAAACTTCTCCAGTAGATTCTTCACCCTAAAATGAACAAAAAAGTTCATATTGACCATGGTCCGATTCTCAACCATTTCAGAGTAATTTCGCTTTTTATCGATTTTGAAAGATATCACGTCCTGGCGTCGGAAAATCGTGATATCTTTTAATCTAAACATTTCTCTTAAAATCTATAAGCACCGTTGAAATCCCCGTTAATTTTTAGAGAGAATCAAAATCATAATTCCATTGAAATTTTTTAATTTAATTTAATGCCCATTTAGTATGTAATGCTTAAGAAGTTTACAAACAGCTAGAAGGTCAAGGAAGAAAGACCCAAACGTTTTGCCACCTTCATCTTCTTATTGAAAAATTAACGGGGATTTCAACGGTGCTTATAGATTTTAAGAGAAATGTTTAGATTAAAAGATATCACGATTTTCCGACGCCAGGACGTGATATCTTTCAAAATCGATAAAAAGCGAAATTACTCTGAAATGGTTGAGAATCGGACCATGGTCAATATGAACTTTTTTGTTCATTTTAGGGTCAAGAATCTACTGGTGAAGTTTGTAGCACGAGTAGCAAGTCACTCTCAAACATTAGCAATCCTTGAACCACCATTTTTTCTCTTTTTGTCATCAACATCTTGGTCTCACAACCACTAAATAAGAAAATGACGAGTGCGTTGGAAGCGTTATTAAATCAGGTAGTTTTCCTCAAATTTGCTGCCTTCTGAGACTAAAATTAGAAACTCTGGATTACTTTATACACTTTCCGATTTACACAATTTTCCACTCTTTTTGTAGTTCTGGCTGAAATAAAACACAAAAAATTAGCCCAAACATTTTGCCACCGTCATCTTCTTATTGAAAAATTAACGGGAATTTCAACGGTGCTATTAGATTTTCAGAGAAATGTTTAGATTAAAAGATATCACGATTTTCCGACGCCAGGACGTGATATCTTTCAAAATCGATAAAAAGCGAAATTACTCTGAAATGGTTGAGAATCGGACCATGGACAATATGAACTTTTTTGTTCATTTTAGGGTGAAGAATCTACTGGAGAAGTTTGTAGCACGAGTAGCAATTCACCCTGTATATCTTAAAAACATTTCTTGAAAAAATTAATAAATGCACAGAAATTGTACGGAATGGATTATCATAATTATTATAATTCTGGCGTAAAAACTAACAACCACACATTGTGAAATTACATGTTTTCCTTCTCTCTCCTTCAAATACAGACAAAATGGAAAGTGGCAAACCGTCAAAAGGTGGCGCTGTTTGATTGCCTCTTTAATTAAACTACTAATAGCACAGATGCCGCTAATCGAGTCGTCATAATCCCTGTCGTTCTTGAAATTGGAGCCTGTTCAAACAGGCCAAGAGTAGGATAAATATTGTGCCTATGGGACTCGAATTACAATGGCCCTCTCAACACCAGATAATTAAATCCGTAATGACTTCTGTCGGAATTAATTTCAAGCGCTGTTTAATTGACGCAGGCTAATGAGCCTTTTCCATTTCAATCGTGACATACGGGGCCAAAAAGAGCTTTTTGTATAATTTATAAAGAACAGGGTAGGGAGGTTATTTGGTTCACTCTACTAAGGGCTGCTTTTTTTATTATTGTATAAAAAATAATTACATTATAAAAATAAATGTGTTCAGTTGCATGTCAAGTATGCTCTGTTCTGCTGGGTAAATGTTTATTACAAATTAAAAATTCGATCATTAAAATTACAAAACAACTTAAAAAGTACAAAAAACCAGAACTTCACTGCAGTAACTTTATATATATATATAAAACTTAAATGAACCTTTTTTAAAGAAAAGGGGTAATCGTGTAGGCATAAACAAATATTTAAATTATAAATTAAGGAACCCAATGAATTATATATTACTTCAACCTAAATCAACCTTTATGTTAAAGTGTTTTTTTCACGAAGGAACTAACTAGACTCCCAAACCTAAAAACACAACTTGACGTTTATTTTACTGAGAACAGAACTTCCTCAATTTAAAAATTAAATAAATTATGTCTCATTACACATTACACTTGTAACAATTTTGCAATCAGTAAAGCATAAGTGAAAAAATTAATTAATCATGTATGCAGTTTCCTAATTTTTTTCTTTTTGTCGATAATTTATAGCAATTATATTTAATTTCTCAAAATTGGAAAATCCTAGGTACCACTCATTTTTCTCTTTGATGGAAGTTTTCTTATTCCAGTAACCCGACAACCTCCTACCCACACATCCTTCTACAAACGCATCATCCTTATTCCCGAGATATCCAGTATCCTCAAAAAACTAGTTTTAAAAGAATTTATCAACATAGTAGATTTGGCATAGTTCGGCCTGATTATCTTTTCTGGATTATATAGACGGGGATAATTAGGGAAAGGAAAGCCAAATTGTAGAAGAATTAGACTATGTAGAAATGTTTGATGTATGGAATGTAATGATTGTTTTATATGTTATATTATATGTTTTGTGTGATGTGATGATGATACATGTATATTTTTTCACATCCTCCATGTATTTGTACAATTTAAACAATGTTTATAAATCCCAGGCCCTGAAGGTGATTTCAATAAAGATCGAAACGTTGGCACGATAAAGAAAATGTTTGTCTAAAACCTACGTCACACCAGACCTCAACTCGCGATCGCCAAATAATCATTCTTTTTAACTATTTGATTTCGGGTTCCATCATTGTGTTTTGTGCTACCACATTACCACACCGTCCATGAATGAAACCACCAGACAGACCGTTTCCAGAAACTCCCCGAAGACCTCCCTTAACGATTTAGCAATGTTTCTTAATCGGTGACACTTTTCCTACCCTCCTGGGCATAAAGAATCTTGCTTTTGTGCGATTCTGGATCCGGCTTTTGATAAACCATCCAGGTAACCTCTAGAAACATAAACGCTTCCTTGAATCATATTAATTGACCGTTGCTTCAGAGAACGATAGTGGAGGTCTTAGATATTTATTTGACAAAGAAAAGTTGATGTCCTACAAGGGGACATTCTGTGTCCCATCCTATATCCATGACAATTAACAGGAAAT